CCTCAGTGAGGTTTTCGTGAATAATCACTTTGTCTTTTGTATCCCGGGGCTGGTCAAACCGGGCCTGGTAGACCGCCTCCCGATCATCATGGTCCTGGAACTTGACCAGAACTCTTTTTTTGTTTTTTAGCCTGTGACAGGCCACGATGGCTCCTTGCATGTTCACATTGAGTTTGTCTTTGATGATTTTTGCTACCATGGCTCTGGTTTCAGAAGTTGGTTCCTGTTCCTTTTTTGGGAGTGGCACCCCATCTCCCCCCAGAATAAGAGTACTTTTCCGGTTGTATTGTTCATTTTTTCTACTGCCCTCTCAGTGCTAATCACTCTTGTTTTCAGATCTATGTTTTCAGCCTTAAGGGCATCAAGTTCGGATCTCATGGCAGACATACTTTTTTCAAAGTCTGCTTTCAGAAAATCAGTAACTTTTTTAACTGCTTCTTCTATCATCTTTGACACGTCCTCAGTGCTAACACCCATCCCAAACACCCAAGATTTTCAAGGAAGAATAAAGTTAGTGATCAGAAAAATCTCCTTATCAGCCCCACCTAGATATGGAAAGGAAATCAAAACAAATTTACCAAAATGAGGACAGGGCCCTTAACCCCTACCTCAGGGGAAAGAAAGGCAAGAGAAAATAATTAAACTATGCAGAAAACTCAGCGCCGCTTTCGTCTCAAATTCGTCCTCCGCCAAGGCACGTCCTCCCTCGACGCGCCCCACTAACGAGTTTCATTAACTCTTGCCATTGATACCTTATTTGGGTACGATATTTGCCGTAGTGTGACGCTAAAGGCATTTTAAATTACCATCGTTTCGCCTATTCCTTCATAATGGGGCCCGCTCAATTTTTTGAGCGCTCAATTTTTTGAGCTTTTCCCCCTTGTGCGTGGGACTGATTTATCAAAAACCCAAGGCTATAAACCAAAAACCACCCCAATTCAAATTTGCAACTTACCTCAACAGCTTACGGCGGTATATAGGGCCTTGCTTATGGCTTTGTTATGATAGGAAAGGATGGAACTTGGAAGCGGAAAATAATAATAAGCCCTCCTTGCAACTCCTATGTTGAAAGCACGTTGGGCACGTTGTAATTTTTCTGCGTCAGAACTGTAGCCATATTTCGCTCATTTGAGCTTATGACGCATTCGAATGAAAACAATTATGTGAGGAATTTCAACTACATAAGAATTTTCATTAAAATACGAACATTACTTTATTTTATTTTTAAAAACCTTTCTTATTTAAACAGGCAAAACACCTATGTAAAACGTCAGATGAAATGGCTAATACGTCATTAGATTTTATTTCAAAGAAACTTCTCATGATAATGAAATCCTCGATGTCTGAAACCTTGACTTGAATTTGGTTTATCTTTATGCAAGGTTTATGTTGAGAACACAGTTCACAGTTGAGTTGAGAAGTTTTGTTTTGGTTTATAAATCCAACAGAAAAGTTACCTAGCTAATTAATTTGGGCCTAAGGCCGCTAAGGCCATATAAGCCTTGATGGCCTATATATTAATATATATAGATGGCCTTGATATTAAGACTTTGGGGATCATATTGGTATTTCCATGTCCCGGTTTGGGTTTAGATATTTGTTAATTCCTATAATATAGAAATCATTTTATAGAGAAACTCGTGTTTCAGTTTAGTAAGATAAGTGTGCCATACAGTTTGAGTTAACCAAAATCCAAACCTGACCTGACCTTACCTACAATGTACGACCTAAAACCTTAAACTCAACAGACAACCTAACCTACTGGCTAGGTCAGTAGGCGGAACTATGGTCATGAGTACCCAAATATAGGAACGTTCCCATTTTTGGGAACGGAGTTCCCAAATATGGGAACGGGCGTTCCCATTTATGAGAACGGAAGGCAATTTTTCGGCCGTTCGCCCACTAAAACTCAAAAGTGCATCACGTCTAAAAAAAGTGCACGCTGATTTAAGTATCTACTAAATCTCCATAAAGTTATCTTTAATCTGACCGTGGAACAAGGAAATTGACCGTGGAATGATATTTTTAATGATTTTTTAAAAATGACAGAATGGTGGAAATATGGGTTATACGACATTTAACATGCAAGTTTAAGGAAAATGAAGCATTTTTTACATTTTGAGGTCAAGTATAATAATTTTCGCCTGGTTATGAAGTTTCATTCTAGCGACACCAGATGATGACATATGCAAGCGAACACGCGGACAGTCCCGAGGTAATATTGTTGACATTTGGTGTCGGGGCGATCGACCGCGTGGAACGTCAGTGATTTTACCGAACTACTGTTGTAAACTCAGTTTCAGTGGTTTAAAATCATTCAGCTGTATTTTATCAGCCCTGAAAGACATATTTTATTTGGATGCTAGCTGTTTAGCGTTGTTTTATAAGCAGTGTCATGAGCGTGGTTTTTGTCTTCGGCGTTTCTAAGCATGATCGGTTGGGGGAATTTCTCTGATATAGGTCGCTCTGTGTGGCTTATTTATAATTTTTATGCTGATTTCGATCATACGTCGTGCCCATCCTACCAGGCCTTTTGCCACTTACACTCATTAAGAAAGGAAAAAACTAGATTTTCATTGGGACTAGGTGTTTTGAGGGTGTAACATATTCAGCGTTCCCATTTTTGGATACTTCTTGTGCTCGTCAACTCTCGGTGATTAGCAGACAGGTGCTTGACATGTCTCCACCCTCGGCGCGGACGGTGGATATAGGTATGGAAGACCTTGTTGAACATCGCTGAGCGTTGTGGATTACGTAATCCTGCAGAGGGGGGCGTGCCCGCTGCGAGATCGACGGGAATAAAAGCGCAGAAGACCGGGCGAAACATGCAACGGTCTTGCCGGAAAGGTCATCTGATGATTGTTGCGTTAACAATAATTTGCGGCGTTGGACGTGATGCTTGTTAATGAAAAGAGCCCCTGAAAGGCGTCGGTGAAATCGTTCCCAATTTTGGGTACGCCGTTCCCATAATAAGGAACGCTTGCAGCGCCAGTGTACGACAGCGTTCCCAAATTTGGGCTCGCGGCCCGGGTGATGGACTGCTTTAGAAATAGGGGAACGATTTGAAACTACGATGGGCCTTACAATATCAAACTCTTTCCCAACAATATTGAGACAACTATCAGGCGGTTCACGATCGTTTTATATTTTTTGGACGTCATTTAACAGTTCTTTTTCTTGTTTTAAATAATGCCTACATGGCGTTCCCATATTTGGGTTTATCGTTCCCAAACATGGGAACGAAAATGCGTTCCCGAAAATGGGTACGCTTGACCATAGTTCCGCCTACTGAGGTATCCCCTCTCGGGCCTCTCTTCAAGGGCGGCGCCACCGTGGGGGCAGTGGGGGCAGACTGCCCCCACTGGCAGGAGGCCGTGGGGGCAAGACTATGTTTTTGCCCCCACAAAATTTGGCTGATGTTGAAAAGGGAACAGAAGACCGGTGCAACATTCATGATAGGCGGTTAATAACATAATAGTACGCCTGTTTTTGACCGTCCCCGTATCAAGTGCATCAGCAAAACGTTCGTTCTCGGACCGTCTGTCGCATATCTCCTACTCCCACTCATTCTTCTACTCTTTTTCATTTGCACCAGCCACCAGAAGGCTGCCCTCGAGCTTGACCTCGAGGAGGTTGAGAGGCAGCTTGTCAAAAGTCGGCCAGAGAAGAGATCTTTTGGGAAACCTTAGACTGAGACTGAGCTCAGGAAGGTATGACAAAATATGATGGGTATGTATATCCGGGTTATCTGGAAATGTGTGTGGGTCGCCCTAATGGAGCTTATTCTGGTATCAATCGTGTGTGAAAGAATCGCACATATACATACGTACTACGGGAAAAAAGAGAACTAGGTACCTACTAACTATTGTTTGGAGGAATACGCCATTTTACATCTCAACGAACAACATAACGTTTTCACAGGTTTGTGTCTCGCAATCTAGTTTTATAGTTTTATTTGCTCGCGACCTTTTAACCCGGCCGGGCCCGGGGGTAATCCCAACCACCGCAGCCCGGGGGTAGCCCCCCTCCCCCCACCTGTCTAACTCCGTAAATAAGGCAGCTACGTAAACAAAAATGGTACCAAATGAAAGATATCTACGAGAAGATTCTTAAAGCCCCTAAACCTTTTGACCTCAGGTAAATTTTTAAGGCCAGAAGTCAATGTCAAAGGCAAAAACCGGCACTTTTGTATAGTGGTCTCAAAGTACGTGTTCCAGACAGGGTTGTGCTTGACTCATGAGTCGAGTCAGAAATTTGACTCAACTCTGACTCTAATGAGTCAGATTTGAGTCGAGTCGGATAAAATGTTGAGCTGTTGAGTTGAGTCAGAGTTGAGTCGGACAAAAATATTAAGGCGTTGAGTTGAGTCAGAGTTGAGTCAGTAAAATAACTTTTGACATTGAGATGAGTCAAACATGTAGGATCATGATTCAGCTGACTCAACTTTCCAGAATCTATAGGTACATATAAGCTTTTCATTCCCCCCCCCCCCCCCCCCCCGCTTAACAACTTAGCCCTGGCTCTGCTGCCGGATTTTTTTCACCCCCCCCCCCCCCGCTCAACAACTTTATTATCTGAGTCAATTTTGAGTCAAGTAACTTGTCAACAAAAAATTTGAGTCAAGTTTGAGTCGACTCATATTTTCATCAAGCCGCTTATTTTTAGCAGGTGGTTGAAGTTCACGTCTGTGGCGCCGAAGTTTGCCTAGAGAAATCGGGCCTGAGACGTTATCAAGGAGACTATGTCAAAATTTTTTGCTTCAAAAAATGTTAAATTAATGGGTGATAAGGTACAGCAAATTTTGGCTTTCTATCCCTAAGCGTTCGTGAGGTATCTCAAATATTCGCCAGGGGGAGGCGAAAAACGCCCCCCCCCCCCTCTCTTCCGCGCGGGCCCGCGAGGGTTAATGGTTCAGCTCAATACGTATGCAATGCATGAAACCTGAAACCATAATGGTTTTGAATAGCAACATCTAGGGGCAAGGTGCTCATGGATTTTGCAGATCGGCGTATCAGACAACAGTCGGGTCACCTCAATCTTGCCCCCACTGGCGAAAATTCGTGGCGCCGCCACTGCCTCTCTTTGGTTGCAAAAAACAAGTTGAAGTTGAAGTATGATGCCTGCTTGCCTTAATACCACCAGACTTTGTACCTTGACCTTTTATGGATTTGATTTGCACTTCAGAGTTCAGCTTCACTACAATAAAATGATATTTTAAGTTTTCATATTAATTTTGTGTTCATTGTGTACCTACTAATATACCCTAGTATTCAGTAGTTGTGATTTCACAGTCTTCAATGAATGACATCACCTTCCCGGAATGATTTATCAACATTATTTCTGCAGGTGTTGTGTCATGGCTCTGGTGCTTTCTTTGGTGGTGGTGGGAGCCACGATTCTGCCGACTTCCAGCAGCATATATGAGACAGACTGTGCGGCAACACTGCAAATGGGGCAGTATTTATGTCTAGACCTCAATATTGACCCCAAGACACAACAGCCAGCAGGATGCACCCCTGAAGGAAAGGCATTAGGTATGATCAAATAGCCTGGTAGGTACCAATTTAAATTTAATACCCTGGAGGAAAACATCAGATCAATATGGTTGGGGCGTACAGTTACACTATTTCCTACTGAGTTTCCACAGAAAAGATAAATGATTAAAGCCTATAAGTCACATCATGTGGACCTGTTTATTGTAGATTTGATGTGTTCCGTTGCACCTGCCTATTGTTTTATTACATTTACAGATTGAGTTTGTATGGATGGTAATTCATGAGTATTTCTAACTTCTAACTGCTTTCAGATGTTAACTATTTTCCATTTTTTTCAGTAAACTGTACTGTTGCTCCAGGAATAATATGCAAGGAATCAGGAAATAATACATTTGAGAAGCACATTCCCTGCAAATACACGTAAGTCTGAATGAATGCCAATGGTAGTTGGCAAGTGATTTTGACTTTTCGATGATCATTTCCCTCCAAATGAAGTGCTGTTTGCAATTTATTACCGTTTTTATGCCAATTACCGATAAAATTCATTGTAATGCCTCGTCTCGTCTGCCCATCGCTTCCAATCTCCGATACCTTTTCTTGTGTGTAAGTATGGAAAGCTTTAGTTCATAAAATCAACGCCAGGTATCGCTGCCGGTGCCTCAGTCCTTTCCACGGCACACACTGTTCAAGTAGTTCGAATTTTTTAGTTGCAATTACCACAAAAAAAAAATCAACGAAATAGATTTAGGTAGTTGTGATGAGATTTTCAGGATGGCGGCATTCAGTCACAGTGACACTATTTCATTCATCGGATGCTGCTCGTTCTCACATTTCCAGGCATCCTTATAACGAGCCCGCCGCCTCCACCGGCGCTAGTGCCCCAATATTGACCGACTTCCCCCACCGATTGGCAGCAACGGCTACTCGTTCGAGACGTCCCTGCTGCTGTCGGTGTTTCTCGGCTTTCTGGGCGCCGACCGCTTCTACCTGGGCTACCCGGGCCTGGGTCTGTTCAAGTTCTGCACTCTCGGCTTTCTGTTCGTCGGTCAGCTGGTGGACATTGTCCTGATTGCGACGCAGGTGGTGAAGCCGGCTGACGGCTCCGACTACATCATCAGCTACTACGGAGCGGGCCTGGAGATTCGGACCATGGATAACATGACATACAGGGTGGTGCAGCCAGACTGGTAGCGGCGGAGAGCGGAGGGCGATTACAGGTGCGGGGGAGCTGATAGTGGCATGAGATCAGGCATGGGCGGATCCAGACAGGTGCCAACGGACCCTAAGGCATACTCTACGAAAAGGTCCTCCAAAACTCCACGAATTTCATTTTTCTGCGCGTTGCTGTGCAATTCAAAGGAAGCATTTTTGATGTGATTTGAGATATTTGTTTGTGTGCGAGGAAGATGGCTTTTCTCATGCCTTTCGGACGCTGTGGGATCGGTGCCCATGATGCTCCTTGATCCACCAGTGACTGCGGTTGATCGTGTTTTGACTCGTATAGATAGGCTATTGTACGATTTCAAGACTACACCACGAAATGATGTGGGCTTGATTGATCTGTGATATATCTTTTCATGTGCGATAACTGGTTTGTGTGTGACCAAAATTGTCAGATTTTTCATCTCATTCATTCATTACTCATCATTGTGTTATATGTTAAACATGAATGTCGTGTATAACGTAAATAATGAATACATAGGTACAGGTCTCGCGAGATTAAGCGGTAGGTTTTGCACTTTTACATTTCCGGTTATATTTCAGAAACTAATCGATCTACGATGAAGCCATTTTACACGATCATGGCCGGCTTGTTACCCAACAAGTCGATTGCATCGTCAACACTTAAAAGCTTAAGACGACGAAGATATAGCCTGAAGTACACTAAATTTTCTAGGTGCAAAACCTACCGCTAAAACCCGCGAGACCTGTACATCACGATACAAGGCTTGTTTGGTAAGGTAACTGTTATACCTACAGAGTACATACCTAATACCTATGGTAAGATGCTCTGCTTTTTCAGGGACAGAAAGTGCCATCCTGATCCGTCAAAATCATCTTGTTCACTGAATCGGATTACCATGATTTGGCTGTGGTATCCTAGAGCAAAATGCAAAAATATACCTATCAATTATTCATTTGCAAGAACTCCCCTGAACTAGTTTTTTCTTCCTGTAATTGGCTCGGACTTTATCGCTCATAGGCCGATCTCGACATTGCAAGCACTTTCCTATACCAGGCTTCATGTGTTCTTGGAGATCGCCCGTGAGGTACGCTACAAAGCACACCGAAAATAACGAGAATCCGTCTGCGCTGAACATATTGGGAGTCCTGTGTAGCCAAATTCTTGGCGAATGGCCTACTTATTTCTGATCCTGATCGGATTTTCAGTGCGTCTTTTTCTGGTGTTTTAGCGGACCATTTATTTGTAGTTTGGCCCAGACTGACCAGCAAATTCCGCTCACGTGTTGCGCTAATGGTGTCGCAAAACCGGGCACAAAACTAATAATGATCAGGACGACGAAAAGCACTTAAGTTTTAACTGTTGGGCTGTAGTCGGCGGGCAATAGGGCATGCTCGTCGTTTCGGCAGCGGAAAGCTGCGAACCGACCTCTGGGCACACAAAGGTCTCGCAGCAACTGCCTGGATTAGGGCAATCATACGAAAAGTTAGCCGGGGGAGAGGTAGGTATTGACTTGATCGCTCAACAGCGAACAAGAGTGATCGCTTGTGACATCCATAGCGTACAAGTGACATCCATATCCATGACAGTACAAGTGACATCCATAGCGTAGGTATGTACTTAATCCTATAGACTTTGGACTTTTGATGTGTATAAAGTTTGCGAAAGAAAGAACATAATATGCGTCTGGGACTGGCACCTGCCCTCCCCCTTTCCCTCGGCCGAAGAGGGTGGAGCTCGCTCGATGATCCGTATGCCGTCTTCATAGACCACAAATAGAATGGTGTGGTCTATGAGGAAATATGCAGTTATATCTAGCTACTGCACCCAGGGATGCGGAGCCGTGGAAATTTCAGACGGCTCCGGCTCCGGCTCCGGCTCCGGAGAAAAAAATCGGCTCCGGCTCCGGCTCCGGCTCCGGGTGAAATGTTATGGCGGCTCCGGCTCCGGCTCCGAGTAAAATGGTCCGGCTCCGGTGGCTCCGGCTCCGACTCAGTACATCCCCTACGCAATCAATTAAGGGGACCCTCCCACCTTAACATTAGATTTGAGTTGAGATAGCCAAAATGGGGTCCCTGGCTCACAATTACCGGTTTCGGCACTCACAACATCGAGAAATGCCTTAAATCGGAAATATTGAATTTCAAAATTGCAGCATTTTGATTCAGAGGGGCTAATGCTTAGGAATACCCCTCTGAATGTGTGACGTCAGCGCAGATATCTAACGATTTTTAAATGTTTGACTAAAACGTTTTGTAGCACGCGGTGGTATATGCTATTTGCGCGCAACATCTGCCGCAAACGCCGCACTTCTAAAATAAAGTCGCTAGAAACAGCGGAGATCCCAAAAAAGTAAACAAAAGTAAAAGTATAATATCTTGAAAACCGGTGAATATTTTTCGGTGAAATTTGGTAGATATTCGTTTTCGCTCTTTCTGAACCGAGCGACATCACTTTCATGCCAATTCATAAACTTTTTTGAAGGTGGCAGGGTCCCTTTAAATACGGGTGGAAGAAAAATTGGATTGGTTATACGCGTTACTCTTTGCCATGACCGGCTCACCGCGTCCCCGCGCAAACGCACCTCGGAGAGAACTGGCAGAACAAAGGGAAAGGGCTAGGAAGCGATGGCATTGGAAACGCAGTCGCCGCGAATCGGAGTTCAGTGAACCATCGTAAGCTGACACCCGTCTCGGCTGCATTGGGGGGTGAGGGGTGGGGGGGGGGGGTGGGATGAGACGGTGCTGGGAGTCGCAGTCCACTGCACTGGTTTGAAAACAATGGCCGTCACCTGATGACTGGTCCTCATGTTCTGGGGATGCAGTAGACGTGGGGGGGGGGGGAAGAGCAAACAGGAAGTTGTTTGCGTACTGTGGAATACTGGGGATATTCGGATTTTTTCATTCACTTGATGGCCCATGACGTAAGTACCATATGTTTTACTGCCTGGTACTGTCAAACCGAACTAGGTCAATTATTTTTTTTTCCTCTTCAAAAAAATAAAAAGGAGCCGGAGTCGCCCCCTTTTTTGGCGGCTCCGGCTCCGGCTCCGGCTCCGGGCTATATTGTTTCACGGCTCCGGCTCCGGCTCCGGCTGCGGGCAAAATCTGCCGGCTCCGGCGGCTCCGGCTCCGACTCCGGCTCCGGCTCCGCATCCCTGACTGCACCGCTGGGCAAACTGCACTGCCATCTGGCCTGTCCTCCTTGACATCATGCGCAATAAAAAAGCCTATCCTTGTCACACTAGCGCCCGTCATGGTGTTAGCCCACTGCCCCCCCCCCCCCCCGCCTCGGTCTGTCCGCCGTTCAACTTTTTCCGAGCTACCTTTCCTGTACTCTACATGGCTTACAGGAGCACGTTTTTCACTTTTTCAACGATAGCTTGTTCAGGATCTGACTGGCTACTTTAGGTAGGGTAGGTATTCAGTGGTTATAGCCTTTTTTCGCGGGGCGAGGGGACATAAGATTACCAAGATTGTTCAGAATTCAGATAAACCCGCGCCCCGTAGGGGGGGGCCGAAACGCCCCCCCCCCTGTCCTTTTCGGTCGATATCTCCTAAACCGCTTCAGATATCGCCACCAAACTTTCAGGACCCCTCCGGGCATCAATTTTACACATTGTGACCAAAAAATTTTCCAGAGGCTATGATAGGTTGGCCACAAATGACGTCAGAATGACGTCATGTTCTGTCATTTTCGACCGAATAAAGACCTTCGTGAGAAGACCTGTCAGGCCTACAGCTTTGAAGATACAGAAAAATGGTCAAGACATAAAAGGTGTAGAATTGACAGGGCTACATGATTGTTATCTCGGATTTTTGAAATTTTTGAGTTTTGAACCCCAAAAATCAAAAAAAACATTTTTTTAGATATATTAGCCAAAAAATCCAAAAAGTTTTTTGAGTTTCAAAAAAAACGGAATATATGTGATAGTACCTACCGTCTTCTATCTACATACCGAATTTCAGATCGATACCTCGTTTTTTGGCCAAGTTATAGCGAAAAAACTGTTCAAAATTGATGACGTCAAATTTTCAAACTCAATTTTTGGCAGTTCTAGACCTCGTAGAGCAAAACAAAGACCACCATTAGACTCCACGTGACGAGCTGCATCGAATAGATACCCATTTTACGCAAAAATATCAACTTTGAAATTTGACCTTATTTGACCTGACCTTGACCTGACCTTCACCAAAACGTGACCTAGGCTGGCCCCAAAGGCTGCCTAACCCACATAATCGCATTTGTCATGTAAAATGGACCATAAAACATGCATCACACGACACTTTCATATTGTGACCCCGGTGACCTGACCTCGCTGTGACCTGACCTGGTATCAGTGACCTCAGATAGCAAAGTATGTGTTTGACGAACAATGTACCATCGATGGTTTTCAATAAATTACCAATTAACTCGATTTCACAACACATTTCTTGAAATGCCTGTGAACGGTGAAAATCTGACCTTTGACCTGACCTGTGACGTCATCGGTTTGACCTAGGTCAATGAAATTTGGTCACAAGGTAGTTCCCGGGTGGGGCTATCGAACGCCGTTCGAATTTTGAAAATCGGCCGGTAACTTTCCGAGATCTTAGGGGGGGCCGAAACGCCCCCCCCCCCCCCTACGGGTGGTAGGGTACGCCGGTAGTCCTACGGGGCGCGGGTTAAACAATGGTTTACAGCACACGTCGTCCTGCTTGTGAGAAGGCGCCAAATCAAAGTATGTCTGAGTTTAGGGCCTTAGGGCCATGGTCTGAAGCCTATTGTGTCTGTTCGGACAGGCGGCCGTTTGCCGACGGCCTGTGTCGACTCGAGAATCTCGTGGGAGACAACGCCGCTCACAGTTAGGTATTATCTGGCAGGCGATTTTCCATGGCCGATAGCCGCCCGGAGTGATCCATTTTCCGTCGTACCATTGAGTTGATTGGACGCGGTAAAATGCTGATCCACCTCGGGGAGATGGAATCAGTGAGCTATTGCCCATACTACGTCACGCATGACGTCACCGTAACGGTCTTGCGGGGGTTCCAGCAGCGATTGCCGAGCCATCGGTACCAACTTGAGCTGGCGCGCCGCCGTAGTGAGCGGATAAGATATGGATGCTACACTTATCCAATGGGAGTGGCCAGAAGCTTGTAGGATGCTCAGTGAACTTATCTATTGACATGTCGATTAGGTATGCAGGTGAAGAAGATCAAAGGGAGTAAAGAGGATTAGGAGCCGCGAGTGCTTTTTTCGTGACACAGTCAATTAAATGATCACGTCTGTCTGCTAACGCCTGTTTCGGGTCAGTAATGTGCTTCCTAGTTACAGGGCTGAAAAAGTGTTTTATTGGTTGTCGTCCGAAGGAAAACGGGCTTATTTGGTTGTCGACTAAAGATGTCTAACCCGCACCCCGCTGAGGGTCCTTGATTTCCACGCCCTGCTGGGGGGGAGGGGGGGGTCCAGCACCCTGCCCTTTTAACTCGGATCCTAGGTCAGGTAATGACAAGCAGTAAACGGCATTCGCAACTACATCCGAAAATAAGGACGAAAATATGTCATTCATTTTTTAGGTCAAGTCAAAGTTCAGGTCACCAGATGCCATTAACCCGCGCACCGACGGGGGGGGGCGGATATCCGCCCCCCCTGAGGTTTTTCGCGAATAGCGGGAAAACCGCGGCGCGTAGCGCCGCGAAATTTGGTATGACTATTCCCTTATCAATTTTACACATGGTGTGCAAGTTTGAACCTCCTACCTTTCAAGGTCAGGTCACCAGGTCA